ACTGTTGTGAAATACTAATTTTCCAATTCAGGTGTATCCTCTGCATTTTCCAGGTGGCCCTTGGCTTTCTGTAAGCAAGGGCCCTCCCTTTTCCTTTAATATTTATTTTAGGTCTAGATTCATAGATTCCTGATTTTTCAATAATCTGTTTCAATACTGTCTTTAATTACTTGGGTGCTAAAAGTGTTTCATATTTGTGCTTGTTATTTAAAGGAATGTTGAGTTATTTAAAGGATTTTTGATTGTTATTTAAAGGATTGAATACCTGGATAACATTGTGGGAGACTCAGATATTATGATTGTAACCTACGAGTAGCGAGTAGCGTCCAGGTTACCTTCATTCATATTGTCTGGAGAAAAAGTGCTACATTCAGTTCCTTGGGTGTGTCGCATGGGGGAGTGTGCTGTGTGCTTTCGCATATTGTATTACCCAGCATATTGGATTTTATGAGGGGTCAGGGAGAGCTGGTGTCCCCTAGGTTTTCTCATTGTTACTTGTGTTTCATGACAGCCCTATGATACAGGCAACGTGGCAGTTGGATTCTATTACCAGCATATTTCTTCTTTGCTTAAATTAAAAGAAAGACTAATGACTATTGTCAGCCTGTCAGACTAAAATTCACTGGAAACACCCTTTCCTCTTAACACTTGGATAGTTTTATGTACTGAGATTTGCTTTCAAAATATATTTTACTTCTCAAGTGAATGTGTGTTCTGGTATTTGGCTTTATGCTATGATATTATTGTATCATAGAACATATGTAGAAAAATCATTTCTAAGCTCTTTTGCCTCTTTCCTAAGCCAACTAAGCAAAGCATTCTTAGTTTGGAATGTCTTGTTTTTCTTTTCTTTCTTTCTTTTTTTTGAGGGGGGTACTCGGAATTGAACCTGAGGTCACTTAACCACTGAGCCTCATCCCTAACCATTTTTTTTTTTTTATTTTATTTAGAGACAGGGTCTTGCTGAGTTGCTTAGGGCCTTGCTAAGTTGCTGAGGCTGGCTTTGAACTCATGATCCTCCTGCCTCAGCTTCTCGAGCCACTGGGATCATAGGCATGCGCCACCACACCTGGCCCCTGTAAGGTCTTTAAACTTTTCAAAATATTTGTAATTTTCCAGAATAAACTGTTAGGGAAAAGGATGCCTGTATTTTTTTTTTTAAATATTTTTCCAGTTGTCAATGGACCTTTATTTATTTATTTATATGTGGTTGCTGAGAATTGAACCCAGTTCCTCATGCATTCAAGGCAAGCACTCTACCACTGAGCTACAACTCCAGTCCCAACCTGTTTTTTTTTTTTTAAAGAGCACATGATGGAATAGGTACATCTATTATAAACTATTAAATGTTGTACATATCTGTTAAATCATACACATGAACTGCCCAAGCTTCACTGATTCTTTTTCTTCTATTTTTCCTCCTCGCTTTAGTTAAGTCCTTCAAATCTGAGTCTATATGTTGCTTTCTCCAGGAAATTTCCCCTGAACTTACATTCTGCTTTAGATATCTCTTCCGTTTCCAGAGTGCCCTTTAACCATAGAATTTGTCACCCTCTACTGTCCTCATTTACTAATTTGTTCAAACCAGTAGACTGTCACTCAAACAACTTTGTTATGGGCAAAGACTATATTTCTGTAATGTTTTCTGGTAAAAGTGAAAACAATCAACAACAGTAAATAGACTCTGAGACTTCAGCAGTTAGAAGTTTCTTATCTCTCACACCAGGAGTCTGAAGGTCAGCATTTCCACGAGTGGTTCGGTGAGGGGCACTTGGCTGCCACCTCTGCCTTTCTTTTGTCCTTCCCGTCAGCATGCCAAGTTGACAGAAGCAGTGACGTGGATTGGAAATATCCGCCATAGTTATTTCCGGTTTTGGACTTGAGCAGAGATGTTTTAGCAAACATCTGTGGATTCCTTGAGTAGCCTTCAGTATATTTGTGATTGTTTCTTCTAGAGAAATTGACGCTGCTTTTTGAAAATAGTGGTTCAGAATTAGACTTATTCATGTGTTTGGAAAAGACCTCTGTTCTTAGCCTGGAAAAATATTTGTCCATTTTCATATAGTTCACAGAAGGTTGCCTTGGAGAAATGTGGGATGGAGGATTTGAGTGTTGCAACCTCATTCCGTTTTTAGGAAACTGCTGGGGGCCAGAAATGAGGCCAAAAGTAGTTTCACATTCTTAAACTGAAGCCTTTGGGGGAGGCCTGCCCCTTATCCCATTTCTTTTATTTTAGTCACAATTCAGATGTGCTTAATTATCGAGTTAATTGCTTAGCTCACTTATTATAAAAAGCACATAATTAGCAAAGGGGGAGTGGAAAGAGTGCCTGGTGTAGGCAGGTAAAAAGATGGTGAAATGTGAGGGTGGAGAAACCAGTGGATGAGCAGGGCTGCGACCTTGACTTAGGGTAGCCCAAGGCCATTCACGTGGCCCCTGTGCAGCTGAGGAACTCAATGTGAAAAGGCTGAATTTCGTTCAATTCACCTGTTTCGGAAAATAGATATAGTGCATGGAAAACTTGTGAAACTATATAAATATGATCTCAAACATGTTTTTAAATATTTTTTTTAGTTGTAGATGGACACAATACCTGTATTTATTTTTATGTGGTGCTGAGGATCCAGCCCAGTGCCTCACAGGTGCAAGGCACACGCTCTACCACTGAGCCACAACCCTAGCCCTCATATACGTTTCAAATGTAGCACTATGTAGATTAAAATACTAGCAGGAAATACTCAGTTAATAGTGAATATCTCTTGGTGGTAGATCATACGTGTTTTTTTTCAGAGATTGTGTGTTTTGTAGGTTTGCTACAGAGCATCATAACTTTTCATTTTAAATATTCAAAAAAATTTTAGGCATTTAGAATGATTCTTGTTAAAGTCTATCTGACTTGTTGGTAATGTTGTGTTTTTTAGATGCTGCTTTTTGTTTTTATTCCAATTGATCAAATAATCCTTTGTCTGCTGCCTGTCTGAAAAGCCCCACTTGCTATTTATGCTGGCTCCCATGTGGTGCTGTTCTCGAAGTTGGGAAGGTGCTCTCCTTGCCCTCATCTCCCAGACAGCCTTTGGCCAGCACGCTGCGTGGCGCCCCGGTGTTCCTACCTGCCTGGGACCACTTTGCACGTACATTTCTTGGTTTTGGAGGACTGTTGTGGTTGTAGATTTTTAAGTAAAACTTGCATACAGCTGGGGCTTTGGCAGATAAGTCTCTTTGTCATCGTTCCTGTTGGTGAACATGTTTTTCTAGTCCACTCTCCTCCGGTGCTCCTTCAAAGGCCTTGGCCTCTCAGTTCTCAGTTGCAAAGGTGTTTCAGTTCTCACTCCTCCCTGTGTGGGCCTTGGTCTCCTAGTTCTGTGTACATTAAATCCTGTTACCTAGAGATGGCAGGATGAGCAGCTCCTACTGCTGAGTGGGGACTGCTTCTTTTCCACTGAGCTCAGCTGAGCATTTCAGAGCAGTTCTCACCTTCGCTGCCCACGAGAGTCACCTGGGAATCTTTAGAAGTCCCGAGTTTCAGGCTGCATTAAAATCTCTGACTAGGATGTTGGTATAGCTCCCAGGTGCTTGAAGCCAGGGATGGAAACAACTGATTTAAAATGATGTTCTGTTTTTCCCAGTGATTTGTGTGTTGTGTGTATTTGTTTTTTTCTAGTGGGAGTGTTTTCAACTCAACAAGAAGAGAAATAGGAGCCCATGATGTTGTAATTAAACAAATACCCTGTTAGGGCTGGGGTTGTGGCTCAGTGGTAGAGCATTTGCCTAGCACATGTGAGGCACTGGGTTCCATCCCCAACACCACACACACACACACACACACACACACACACAAAGAAAATCTAATTAAAACCACCCTGTTAAACAGGACAGCAGCAGACCATTATTACATCCCTACTATGTGCTAGATCCTGTGCTTAGATCTTTCACATGTTATATCCTGTAGTCCTCAGGACCATCCTGCAAGTTTAAATGCCCATTTATATGTATTTGCAGATAAGAAAACCATGTTACCAGGGGCTGGGACTCAGTGGCAGAGCCCTTGCTTAGTACATGTGAGGCACTGGGTTCAATCCTCAGCACCACATTTAAAAATAAGTCAATAAATAAAGGCATGCTGTCTGTCTACAACTACAAAAAATTAAAAATTAAAAAAAGAAAACCCTGTAACTTAGAGAAATTAAATAACTAGTCGTAGGTCACATAGCTCACAAATGGCAGAACCAGATTTGGGTCCATTTTGCTGAGATGTATGGAAATAGAACTCCACCCCCATATAAATTATTTAAAGATTAGCTCTTGGGTCAGAACAGGGTCTAGATATCTGTTGAATTTACTTACGGGGGATATTTCATCTCCCTTAATGCCAGGATTGGTACTCATTTTCTTATTTTTGAGGAGGACAAACTGATATAAATTAATTGTTATCTTTTAAAAATTTAACTTCTTTTAGTTCATTACTTTAAACAAACCTGGAGTAAATAATTACATACTTCTTTTAACTGTGTCCTGTGTCCTGAGGGGTTGTATATTACTATAAAATAATATATCTACTTGTTCTTCTTCATCCACCTCCTTAATTCACATGGAGGGCTGTGAGTTTGTGTGTGTGTTGGGGGGTGTGTGGCTAGAGGGACAGGGACAAGGAGAGGAGTAAGGATAAAAAACTGGAGAGCCAGGTCGCCACATGGTTCCCTGGCACACTGGGTGACTCGGGGGAGTGGTGGGAATTGAGACTTGGAGCCTTTCGGTCATTCTGTCCCAGGGAAGCCCTGGGGGATGTATGGACTCTAGTGATAGCGTCCTCTTCACCCTCCTCAGTGATACAGGCTAGGGCTGTGTGCGCCTGTGTCTTTTTTCTTGACTTGGCGTTACTCTGGCCCTGGCTCTGTGGAGATAAATGACTTCCAGGTGGTCACAGGGCTTTTATCTTTGTCCAATTCCCAAAGCATAGGTGTGTTGAACTGACTCTAAGTCTTTGTCTTTGTCACTGGCAGCTCTCCGACTGGCTCTTCTGTCCGCGTGCCGTCACCTGTCACCTCCGTTAAGCCAGCAGGATGGCTGCGAACAAGAACAAGGGCCAGAGCTCCCTGGCCCTTCACAAGGTGATCATGGTTGGCAGTGGCGGGGTCGGCAAGTCGGCCCTGACGCTCCAGTTCATGTACGACGAGGTAAGACGCCAGCCACACTGCCTGTGTGGACTCGTTGGCCGGGACAATGTCCCAGCCATGTTTTGGTGCCCTCCCCCATGTGCATAGGGTTCATGGGACAAATCTGTCAAGGTGGTTTGGGAATAGCCTCCTAGGGGACTTCCCGACATAAGGCCCGAGGTGCTGATTTTAGATGTGACTTCAACTCTGGCAGGGATGTGAGGAGCCTCTGCTCACATAGTTTCAACTCTTGTTCTTTGAGATCCTTTGTGACAAGAGTGAGGGAGCAGAGAGAGGCCTTTGTATAGGTGCCAGAGTTTGAATCTGGGATTTTACCCACAGGCCTCTTGTTAGATCTCGGTCCCCATCCTGGGGTGTTAGCAGCAGGTGGCGGGACCTTTAGGAGCTGGGCCCTAGTGGGAGAGAGTCAGGTCACAGGGAGGTATGCCCTTAAAGGGGATGTTGGGACCTGGCCCCATCTAGTTTCTCTCTTTGGCTTCCCAGTTGCCAGAGATGAGCACCTTCCACCTGTGATCCCACCGTGACACGCTGCCTCACCACAGGCCCCAAAGCAACAGGGCTGACTAACTGTGGACTGACACCATAAGCCAAAAATAAACCTTTCCTCTTTTAAACTGATTATCTCAGGTATTTTGTCACAGTGCTAGAAACTGACTAACAGCAAGTATTTCTCAATAGATAGTTAGCTTTGTGCCTAGTCAATTTGGGGAAAGAAGGAAAAGAGAGCTGAGTTGTCATAAGAACCTAATCTTTTCCTAAGTGATGGACATCAAGTTCTTGATTCTCTGTGCAGCAAGGTAAGGCTTGTGCCATTCTTACCCAACACTTGTATTACTTACTTTATGTGATTAATATGAGTGGTGTTGAGTCCAATATGACAGCACAGTCTTGATTTCTGTGGCAACCAGAGTTTCTGCTGGATGGCCATTAGCTGGAACTTCTGGTAGAGGGCATGTTCAGAGCAAAGCCCACACCTTAGTATGGCATTCACACAAGTGTACGTTCTATGAAATTTGCCAAAGAGAGAAACTAGGCCACTATCTCTCTACTAGATTTTCCTCTGTCCCACTTCCTCTTGTGTTGGGTGCTATTGGAGTGGCCATGGACATTTCTGATTCTAGCTGAGGGAAGTTCAGTTAGGAATAGGGGTTAGTTGGGAAATATTGTGTGTGTGTGTGTGTGTGTGTGTGTTTGCGTGCACAGAGTCACTTTAGTGCATGGGGTGGGAACATTCCTGCCACCCACTGTGCTGACTCACTAGCATTGTAATGTGTATTGCAGGGCCAGGTGGGTCACAGCATGAACACGTCCTGTGGGACACTTTGAGTGTGGGGGTGGTGGAGGAGAAACAAGGGGCAAAATGTATGGAGCTAGCAATTGGTCTGGAAATTTCTTCCAGATCTTACACTGAAACTTCATACATATTTCGTAAATGTGTCAGTATATTTGTCCCTTTGTATCTGTGAAGGATTGGTTCCAGGACCCTCCAAAGATTCCAAAATTCATAGTCCTTTTATAAAATGGAATGGTATTTGTACATAATCTGCATACACTGTAAGTCCTCTCTAGGTTCCTTATAATACCTAACACAATGTAAGCACTATGTAGATAGTTGATATCAGAGGGAATAATGACAAGAAAAATAAGTGTACATGTCTGTATAAACATTTTTTCTGAATATTTTTCATCTGTGATTGGTTGAATCCACAATTGGGAAACTCATGGATATGGAGGGCAGACAACAGAACTAAAATTTCCATTATGAATAATGTCATGTATTTGTGAAGCTGAAAGAACCTTTTCTAAACTGTCAGTACAAGAGAAAATTCCATCAGCCATGGCTACATTATTTGTTATTCTTTATAGAAAAACATTTCAAAGTTGTTGGCATATGACAAGATACAGTATATAGCAAATTTTTAAAAAGGTATTCTAGAGATGTCAGGCAGTTAATGAATAACAATATTAAACTATTTTCCTGGGTTTTGTGATGTCAATATTTGTCCTGGTTTTCTCTTTCCATGTAATACATGGACACAAATTTAGCAAATGTAGGTTGAAAACATACATTTCTTGTCTCAATTTCCATGGTCAAGAGTTGAAGTGTGGCTTAGGTGGAGCCTCTACTCAGGGTCTCCTAAGGCTCCAGTCAAGATGTTGGCCAGGGCTGTCATCTTGTCTGAGGCTCAGTTTTCTTCCATGTTCCCTGATTATTAGCAGAGTTTAGTTCTTTGTGGATGAAGGACATTGGCCCTCAGCTTCTACAGGTTTCTCCCAGTCCCCTGTCACACCGGGTAGGCAGTTCATTCTGTGTCAGCTGTCTTCTTCAAGTGCATGGGGTGGGAACATTGTAGGTTCAGCTAAGACAGAGTCTTGTACAGTTGTTGCTTGGTATCTATAAGGGATTGGTTCTGTGATTCCTACTGATACTAAAATCCACAGATGCTCAAGTTCTTTATAGAAAATGATATAGCATGTTTTAGCCAGCTTTTTTGCTACTGTGGCTAAAAGGACCCAATCAGAATAACTATAGAGGAGGAAAAGTTTATTTGAGGACTCATGGTTTCATGACAGGCAGGCTCCATTCCTTGGGGCTCGAGGCGAGGCAGGCCATCATGGCAGAAGAGTGTGGCAGAGGGAACCAGCTCACATGATGATTAGGAAACAGAGTTCTCCACCCTCCAGATACAAATAGCCCCAAAGCCACGCTCCAGTTCCCACCTCCTCCAACCACACACTATCACTTCACTTACCACTCAATTCCTATCAGGAGATTAATTCACGGATTGGGTTCAGACTCTCACAACCCGATCATTTCTCCTCTGAACCTTCTTGCATTGTCTCACATGTGAGCTTTTGGGGGACCCCTCATATCCAAACCATAACACAGTGTTTGCATTTAACCTACGCCCATCCTCCCACATACTTTGTCTCTAGATTACTTATAATACCTAATACAACATAAATGCAATGAAAATAGTTGTTGCACTATATATTGTTAAGGGAATAATGATAAGGAGCAAAGTCTATCCATGTCCAGTACAGATGAAACCATTGTAGGCCTAACTACATTTTCGATCTGTGGTTGATTGAATCTGGATAGAGAACCCTTGCATATGTGGGGTAGGCTGTATAAGGAAAGGGCCTCTTGGGCCTAATCCCATCGTGGTTACCATATTCTGTGGCTAGAAGCAGTTACAAGGTCTGTCTGCATTCCAGGGGAGTGCATTATCCACGGGCATGGCTCATTGGGGGTTGCCTGAAAGTGTATATGCCTAGTGTATGTCTATCTTTAAATTTTTATAATGAATTATTATTGCTTTTCTCATGGAGATAAATACTTATTTTGCATCCAATATTACTTGTGAATCCTTTTTTAAAGGAGGGGGTCCCTCAAATCAGTAAGCATCAGGCTACAACCTGTATCTCCTTCTGGGTCACACCACCTGTATCTTACAGTGGGACATTTTTGTGGTCAATGCCTACTTCTTTTTATCTTAAACTAGGTGCTGAAGTGGGTAAATCTGGCAGACTCTGCTAAATATACTTCAAACATTTTTGCTTAGAAGGAGAGAAGTTGAGAACTCTGCTGTGGAAATTTTTCTTGTTTGTTTTTGCTTGATAACTTGTAAATTGCTTTTTTAAACTTACATATTCTTCTTTTGTAAGAAGAGGAAAGAGTGAGGAAGGAGTTAGGATGAGGGAGAAAGGTTAGAAATGCAGTTGTTAACAGAGGTGGGGAAGGGGCTTTTTTCTGTCAGAGGATATTCAGCAATGCCAGTTTTAGTTGCCACTACCAGAGGGAGAGTACTCCTGGAAGGTAGGGGCCTCTTGCCTCAGCCTCCCAAGCCACTGGGATTACAGGGTACGCCACCGCGCCCTCTGATAATTCTTTGTTGTGTGGCTGTCCTATGTGTGGTAGCATGATCAGCAGAATCGGGAGTTCAAAACCAGCCTCAGCAAAAGCAAGGCACTAAGCAACTCAGTGAGACCCTGTCTCTAAATAAGATACAAAAAACAGGGCTGGGGATGTGGCTCAGTGGTCGAGTGCCCTTGAGGTCAATCCCCGGTACCAAAAAAAAAAAAAGAAAAAATTAATCATCCTAAAATATCAGTGCTGCTGTTGAGAAACCTTTCTGGGACTGTCTTTATCCATTTTCTGTTGCTCTAACAATAGCTGTGACTGGGAAACTTATAAAGAAAACAGGTTTATTTTGGCCATGGCTCTGGGAATCCAAGAGCATGGTCCTGCATCTCCTTGGCTTTTGGTGTGGGCCATGTGCTGCTGCATGCATGGTGGAAAGCAGAAGGGCAAGCAGGAATGTGCAAAGAGAGGAGGGTACAAAGCAGCCAGGTGTTGTATGACAACCCACTCATGGTAACTAACCCACTCTTATAGGAACCACTTTGTTTCCTTTGTGAGGGTGGATCCCTCAGGGTCTAATTGCCTTGTAAAAGTCCTGTCAGCTTGCAATACCATTACATTGGCAACCAGATTTCAGCATGAGTGTTGGTGGGGACAAACCACATCCAAATCATATCAGAGCTGTGGCTGGTCAGAGAATGGAGACTCCTACGGTGCAGGTGATTGAGAGGCCTCAGGATGCCAAATCCAAGGGCAAGTTCAGATACAGAGTTCTAGTCCTCTGTGAGACTAGGACCTATTTTATAGCTCAGTACTGCTGCTGATACCTAGGAGACTAGGAAAGCCCGGTCTGGGTGTGTGTGTGTGTGTGTGTGTGTGTGTGTGTGTGTGTAGGGGAGGGGAAAGATGCAGAAAAATCAAGAGGTTTTTTTTCTGTCCTTCATAAAGACAAGGGAAACTATGCTTTGCCTTAGTCTGTTTTTCTTGTGGGCTAACATTATTTGAAGACCAGAAAGTAGTGGTTATTGAAGAAATGGCAGAAGAAAATCAGGACAGGGAAAGAACAGAAATGATGTGTATCTGGGGGAGTCTTTAATTGATTTTCTAATGCTGTTGTGTAGTACACTTGAAATGT